AACAGGATTAAGAGCCCCGAGTGCGGTTCTGTCTTATAAGAGGAAGGAAGTCGGAAAAAAACTTTTAGATGCCTCTTTTATCCTTTATGTTTACGTTTCAGGAGACTAAAATGGCTGCATGACCGCTCGATACCCCCTGTGAACTGTCTACTCATAATTTTCGACGCTAGTGCAGGACTTGGCGTCTGTAGCAGAATAAATATGGTTTTATTAATGAAAAAAATGCAAAGATTAATTGAAAGGTGGATGCAAAGAGCAAACGGACGGCAAATAAAGCATAAAATAAAAGCGGAAAAGATTTGTCTTCCTGCGATGGTTGGATAACGGCCGAAAACAACTTGAAACAGTAATCAGCGGAGCAACCCATCAGTTGTTCGTTGGTGGGTTCAAGGCCGCTTACTCTTGTGGCGGTGGTAGCGCCTCAGCCTACCCGAATGCCGGTGCGATGACAACCGAGTGTGGTGTCACGATATCCGCAGTGGAGTTCGGGTCTGGAGCGTCCAAGTTACCATCATTCCAATATTCTGACGGTGCGGATACCCGTTGCCATGGTTCCGGCAGTGGTGGCACCTCAGTCGATTCTGGCACCGAGCCCGCAGAAACTCGCCGTGGCGCAACAAAATGCGGCGCGAAGCTTGAGGCAAGAGAGCCGCGATTGAAACTATTCCTGTATTCCGTTTCTGGAAACGAGTTTTGTGGTGGGGGTGGTAGTGGTGACGTTTCATGGGGGACAAGCAACAACTCAGCCATTGATGGATGACTAACATTCCTCCTGCATTTCGTCTCTGGCGTCGAGAGTGGTGGTGTTGGTGGTGGCAGTGGCGACGTTTCATTGGGGAAAACCAGCAACTCAGCCATTGATGGACGATTAAAATTTTTCCTGTATTCAGTTTCGGGCGTCGAGGGTTGTGGCGGTGGTGGTAGTGCTGACGTGTGATGGGGGACAAGCAAGAACTCAGCCATAGATGGACGATGAAAACTCTGCCTGTATTCAGTTTCAGCCATCGAGGATTGTGCTGGTAGTGGTGACGTTTGATGGGGGACAAGCAACAATTCAGCCATAGATGGACGATTGAAACAATTCCTGTATTCAGTTTCGGGCGTCGAGGATTGTGGTGCTGCTGGTATCATATCGTGGGGGCCAGCCGACCAGTCAGCGCTACTGTAGGTGACGGATCTGCGACTCGAAAAGCAACACTTTTCTTGGGCAGACTTGGTAGATTCAACCAATGGCCTCCTAAGCTCCATTCCTTTTTCCCTGCTCACCTTCGGCTTGCCTGTGGGTTGACGCAAATTAGAGCTGCTCGATTCCCGATCACCTGACGACGGCTTTAGCTGCTTTTGCCTTGCTGCTGCTGATGACGATGATGACTTTGCCGGAGAAAGTTTGTTGGCGTCCGGTGCAGTCTTCAAGGTATCAAGTTTCCTCGTTGTGGGCAGCTTCCTAACTGCATCTGGCGGTTTCTCTTCGACCTTACAGGTGAGTGGGGGACGAGAACATCGTTCGCAGGTGTCCTCTTCCACATTTGCCTGCTCAATCTGTCTGGTAGCGGCAACCGGAGGGTAAACGGGCGAGTAGTTTACCGCGTTCACCTTTGGGTACACGCCCTCGCATCCGGGCGCCCGGCTGTAGGTCCTGCTGCAAGATGAGGCAGCATGCGAAAGTGGGCATCTGACTGGATGTTGCCATTGGGATGGACGGTAGATTGTCGCACATTGAGGTACTGGAAGTGAATGGTTTGACAACCAGCACATCACCCCAGGGGCGTGATTGTCTCTCGCGTCGACAGTAGCGGAGGGCCCTCAGCCTCAGAATGCGCCCAAGATGGTGCCTTTTCTTCTTCTCAGGCGTTGCCTCTGTCTTGCCCGTTCCGCGCGCACGTGGAGCAGGCGGAAATCGATTGGG